AGCAGTCATGAAACGGAAAGCCAACAACCAGAAATCACAAACAAATTAATCAAACTCTTACCTCCATCCCTCCAGCACGTAAATTTAGAGTCCCGACATTACACAGCTTGCCCACAAATTCTAAACCGAGAGAAAGAGAAACATTTGCCACCTCCAATGAACCAAGTGTCCCAGCAGAGATATTATCGTAAACAGACCCGATCATGAATAGAAACCTAAGCGCCGGAGTAAGTAGCTTCACCCAAAAGTACTTGTTTCCACCAGATCCATGGTCATCAGAAGGTTGTATATTGAGTTCTAGCCTAAGTAGCGTTGGCGAACAAATCTCCAAATTTTGGGCCGTATCAAAATTAACTATGCTCAGCTCCTCAAGCACCGAGCAGCCAGATATGAGGCGCGGCAAGGATTCAGCCCCCGCAAGATGAAGCCTCTTAAGGGCCGGCAGGCACACATCGCCGGCCGCCGGGAGCACAACATAACCACCGATACGCAATCCCACTAGGGTTTCACACATTAACAGACAATTGGGCATCGTCGTCCATACGTTCACAAACCAGGAAACATAGATAGAGATATTCCTGACATTGCGGGAAACGAGAGCGGCAATCCAGCCCTCGATTTCAAATTCGTTGAAGTTATGATAAATTCTTAGTCGGAAAGTGTGTACCGTTTGCCCTTTGTGCGCTGACACGACCTCAGTGAAGATGTCCCCAAAGCGGCGGTCGAACAAACTGTTGTATACGAAACTTAAGAGGGGGACATGAGCCCACATGGACCGCCATCTTCTTGAGAGGACGCTGGTGCACGCAGAGAGGCGGGTCGGGAGGAAAGAGAGGATGTGTATCAGAACGTCGTCCGGCAAGGCACCGAGTCTGTCGAGCGGCGGTTGCTTATTTTCCGACATGGGTATAATCGAACAACAACCGAAGCCGATATAGAGAGGTGGAGATGTGAATCAAACGATAGAGAGAGTGCGAATTCGTTGAACTCGTCCAGTCAAAGAACCGAGCTCTGATTGGCTCTGACTCTTTAAAACTCGTGAAAGCTCGAAAATAAGATGATTTATATAATTTTTTATAATTCAACTCGTTAAAATTTGTTAATATTGATAAACGAACTCGAGCTCGATCACTGGCTCATTAAAGATTCGAGTTCGATTCGATTCGTTTAAGGCTCTATTAAACGAATCTATCTATACTACAAGTAAAATAATTTCACATATGAATAGAGTTGATTCATATTTGTACGAGTCATTGGAGTATTTTCACATATGAATAGAGCTGATTCATATATGTATGAGTTATTAGAAAAGTTCGAGACTGTGTATATGTGTATAATCTAACGATAAACTTAGAAAAGTTCGACACTGTGTATATGTGTATAATCTAACGATAAAAAACCACACTACTGGTTAGATGCTCTCATCGAACTTTTTACACACCCATGTGCGTATGAGTGTGTGATCTCAAGGGGCTCCAACCCGTGGCTCCAACCCGATCATAATTTTTCGGATTTTCTAAATTATGTTTGGTAAAAAAATATTTCAGTCATCTTATATTATATTAGCACTGCGTTAATTTTAATTTGGATCAATATAAACTAAACTAATTTTAGATTAAATAAGTGAATTATACATTTGAATAATTGTATTTGCGACAATATTGATTGTGCTAGACTTCTATAAGAATACTTAATTTATAATTGAATTTATATTTTCACATTTTATATTACATATTCACATAAATGATAGTTGAGTATAAGAATTTACTACTAAATCGATATATCAACATTCGATGATATGTCATATAACAATGACTGGACAACACCCTCTCGTAACAGTTATTTTAATAAATTATATTTTTTTTTTAATTAAAATTCAAGTATGAGAATATATTTGTACTTTTTAAAGAAATAATAATAAATCAATTAAAAATGAACATTTTCCATATGTTTAAAAGAATAGTTAAATAATTCATAAATTTTTGTTAATGGAGAATCACCTCCATATAATATACAATTACAAAGTATAATAATTGATATTATTATTTTACAAATGCAATATTCCCATTTTAATATTATTTATCGTGAAATTATGTAATGTATATTAAATATTTAAAATTATGTTTTTTCCTTATTCATGCATCTAGTTAGATTATTCAAGTCGAGTACTTCATTGGAACTTCTGTTTATTTGATAAACAAGCCGGCGTGGCTCAGGTGATTTGATAAACACAAAAAAAAAAAAAAAAAAAAAATAAAAAAAAAAAAAAAAATGTATCCTCAAATTTGGCTCGTATAAACTCGATTCGACTCATTTAATAAATCTTAAAGATTGCTGAAACTTGATACTCTAACTGAGTTGTTCACGCTCGATTCGACTTATTTGATAGACAAGCTTGTTTAAATATATAAACGAGTCAAGCTTGAACTTTTACACAGTTGAACCGAACTATACTATTGGAGTGTTCAGTTCGATAACAACTTCACGTTTTAAAGTTTCAGGTTAAAAAAATTCTGGCTACACTTTTGTATAATCCAACAGTAAAAGACTTATTACTACAAAATATTTATCTAATAACATAATATTTGTCACCCAAATTATATCCATATGTTGTGAGTACAAACATTATCGTTTTATTCGAGTAGCAAGTTCTGATAAGACACCACATCAAGTCATCGACTGTTCTTCTCTTAAGTTGTCTAATAGTCATTGTGTTAGACTGACATTTGTTGGTCTTCTACTAGGTTGTCTACTAAGAGCATCTCTAACAATAATACACCACAAATCTCTATTCTCTGTTCCCATGTACCTCATTAGTCAAAACTTCATTCTTACTCTACAACCACAAATCTCTCATAACCATAAACTTCATTCCCATGTACCAGAATGTACCCAACCAACATATATCCAACGATAAAAGTTCAGTAGCAGAACTCAGTTAATCTTCGCTCTTTTTTCTTAGAGCACCTAACCACATCACATCAACCAAAAAGAAAAGAAAAAAAAAACCCTACAAGAGCACGAGCCCGAGGTCGGATGCCTTGAGCACATGCTTGAGCCGATAGTTGTACAGATAGTAGTGAAGCTTCCCATCCCCCGGCCCAAACTTCAGCTCCTTCAAGAAGCTCTCGTTATGCATCACATCCAAAGCATTAAAAACATCGAAATCCTTCTTCTTGGCAACAATCAGCGCATCGTGTGTAGAAACTGCAAAAATCGGTGATATGATGAGTTTCAGGGCTCTCGACCAGAAAACTATCCACAGCGCCTTCCTTAGGCAGCAGCCAGTGCTCGATATCATCCTCGTCGAAATCTGGCGCCACAACAAACTGCTTCAAGTAGTCCCTGAGCAAACGGGTGACAGCTGGCACGTCTAAGTGGACCCTACGAGTAATCTATATATATATATATAATAAGAATTACCATTTTTAAAAAATGGCAGGTCAACTATATGGTCAAATTCTCTCATAATTAATTACTTTCCATTAATTACAATTTATTTATTTATTATTTTCTTAGAAAAAATGGACCAACATTAATTAATTTCTTTAAAATGTGGAAGTTTTGCTTTATTTTTGTACAGAAAATCGGGCTTCATTATAGAAATTTGTTCAATTACACAATGAATTTGCTATATAATTATTTTTTTATGGGAACTTTTTTTTAACAGAAAAATATGGCATTTCAATAAGATTTTCAATTTTTTAAGACTGATTGTTATCATTCTATGAAATTGAACATTCCAATATACCTTAACAAAATATACACGTGCTGTATACATCAGTTAATAAATCCTCATATTTTTATATATATGTATGTAATTTTTCTATTACCAAATTTAATTGATAGTTGTTGTGTTATGGGTTTTTCATAATTGTTACTTGGTTGTGTGATATTTAGTTTGGTTGGTGTTGCAAAAATTCTAATCTATATATATAATAAGAATAATCATTATAATGCAAATTAAAAAAATATTGATATTAGAAGAGATTGAGTTTATGGCTTTTCTTAAATCAAAGTTGTTTAATTAATATACAAAATGAAATTCTAAAAAAATACATGTGTATATTTTGTACATTATTTATACACTATTTAATTTTAAATTTATTTACATATTTTAAATTGATTACTTATATAAATAATACCAACGTGCATTAAATATATTTCATTACATAAAATAAAAAGAACAAAAAGACGTACAACTTCTATAACTTTATAAATAATAATGACATTATATGGCAACAGAGTTTATAGTAAAATAATAATTAACTATTATATAGTGAACAAGAATAAGTAAAATTGTTATTTTCTCTCATATCAAGGAATAAATATATATAATAAAATTAAATTTATATTAGTATAAATGTGTTAGTGAGATAATATATTAATTATTTTACAAGTTAGCCCTAAAATGCTCACGTTTAATGTTCTGACTAATAAAACAATGCTGATTAAAAGATGTGAAAAATGGATTACAACCCTATTTTTTTAGACTTAACGGTGATTAAAAGAGGTGGAAAATGGATGATAACCCTTTTCAGACTTAAACGGGACTTAACGGAGATTAAAAGAAGTAAAAAAATTGATGATAGCCCTTCTCAGACTTAAACGGACAGAGCCTGTGAAAATAATTCATTTAATATCTCTCTCCCGTGCATCGCACGCGGTACGTACTAGTTGAATTTGAACATGTTTTCACGTCTAAGGCTCCTGTTTGACTTCGGAAAGATCCTTGAACTGGCCCGCGGGTTGAGTTTCCCAGAACTTGTGTCGTTTGGAGAGTGCAAGGGAATCTTGGACTCGTTTGGCTAAGGCATCGAATGATATTCCGTGCTCGTTTTTACAACCGAGAACTTGTGTTCTCGGTTGGTGTGTCTTTACCGGCCATTCTTGGAGGAGCGAAGCGGGAAATAAGATATACTGCTGCAAAAATTAGAGGCAAATAAATGCTCAGAAAAATTGCATTGTTTGATGAGAAGTTGTTTGATTGTGTGTGTGCAGTGTTTAGTTTTGTTGCAGATTTATTGGGCACACAGTAGCATCCAAACTACCTCATCAAAAAATTAAGCACCTGTTGAGTTTTACTAAAAAAATCATAATAAATACTGAATTTGGTCTGAAAAACACATGAATACTCTGTGGAACAAGAGCAACAAAAAATCGCTCCTGAATTCTTTTGCCAACGGTTTCTACACCTGCAGATTTCAGGTTTTCGAAACAAGTCGCTCATGATCTCAATATTTTCACACTTTTGCCAAGTTCATGAATTCTTTGCATTAACAAGTTGAATATAACATGTTTGATGTTTCCTATATGTTAACCAGACACCACAGAGAAACAGAAGCAGAATTTGCATCCGTAAACACGACAATTGTAATAAGAAAATTCATTACCAAATTTCAGTCAGAACCATTAGTTATACCCCACCAACACGAGCATAACCGTGTTTTTCGAACCTCAAACGACATTGCCCTCATGGCTCACTCAAGAGGATATAGATTATTTCGCTTCTAAATTCGAGAAAACTAGCTGCACGGGAGGATTGAACTACTATCAAGCGCTACACTTGTAAGTTCTATAGTATGTTACGTATGCAAAGTTAATTGATGAATGAGCTAACAACCGGATTGCCAAGAAGGAATTGTTAACTTTGTATTGCTTACTTACCTTTTCATTTTCATGCAGGAGTTCGGAGCTGACAGTGGAGCACGAATTGAAGTGCCCGTCAAGTTCTTAATTGGCGAAAATGACATGACGGACCATTTTCCGGACGTGAAAGAGACCATAACGACTAAAAGCTACAAGAAGCTTATTCCACATCTAGAAGTTGTGGTGATGAATGACGTCGGACATTTCTCCAACCAAGTGAAGCCCGATGAATTCAACGAGCACATTTATAGCTTCATCTCCAAATACTAGTTAAAATATGTTACTTCTATGTATTGCTGAACTACCAAGAACTCATTATGTTTGATCAAACAGACACGATGATTTCGAAATAAATTAATTATATTGAGATTTATATGGTATTATCGAGTTGCGTATTTGTGTACGTGCATGCAGCATATATACAATTCGAAACAGAGCATCTTATTCTCAAAGCAAATCTAGTTTGAGCATTGAAGGCAAACAGTGACGAATTACGGTACACTGTACAAATTCATAATCAGCAAACGCTACCAAGAAAAGAACCGCAAAAGCATCTACTGTGTTATATCTGATGTTGGGCTGGAAACAAAGTCAAAGTTTACATGCAGCAAATCGGTTAGTAGGCACACATGCCATCCCACCACTTCATAGGTTCATGTCGTAAAGACAAACAACAAAGTTGAAAACAGAGAAAAGATATGTCCGGACTTTCGTGCATCTAAATTTATGCATAGCTAACATCCCAAATGAAAACAGAGGAACCGGGCATCACAAAATCAAAAAGGAAAAAAGGAAAAACTGATTCGAAACAAAGAAAAGAGTTCTATTCGTTTATAGTTTGCATAGAGGAGAGTACACCAATTTCTAAATAAAACCAAACAGTTTGTACATGAGACGGTGAGTGTATAGAGCAAGATAGATATCACTATAACTAGAAGAGCTATTCGGTATTAAGATTAACATATTCCCTCTCTAGGAACTTAATCTCACATTCCTCCTCTCTAGGAACTTAATCTCACATTCCTTAGAACGTGGCTGCAACTGTAAAATTCTTCTCTTGAGCGCATCAAACTCCAAATCTTTGCATGGATAGTAAGGAAGCTTGATGACCTTCATCAACTTCAGGACTTCAGCATTTCTCAGAACATAACTTATGAATAACCATTCCTCCGTGCACTCGTATGGCTGGATCGTCACAGTTTTGAGATGCGATGATAGACACGTCGGAACTTGGTGGGGCTCCCTCCATTCTTTGATATTACCACAGCCCTGAAGTAGATAGAGAAAAAAGGAAAGGTCAGAAGACCCTTCACTCCCATTAGAGACGCAAAAAGGAAGAAAACCATTGATTAAAGAATAAACAAAAAGAAAAGCGGACAAACAATTACACGGATCATAAGGACTTGAAGATTATCAGCCTTCTCAAGAAAAAACGAGATAAAACGCCAGTCTGCGCTCAATGTGAGTTTGGTTAAATTATGAAACTTCACAGTCAGAGCAGAGAATGCAGAGNAGAAATCACAAACAAATTAATCAAACTCTTACCTCCATCCCTCCAGCACGTAAATTTAGAGTCCCCACATTACACAGCTTGCCCACAAATTCTAAACCGAGAGAAAAAGAAACATTTGCCACCGCCAATGAACCAAGTGTCCCGGCAGAGATATTATCGTAAACAGACTCGATCATGAATAGAAACCTAAGCGCCGGAGTAAGTAGCTTCACCCAAAAGTACTTGTTTCCACCAGATCCATGGTCATCAGAAGGTTGTATATTGAGTTCGAGCCTAAGTAGCGTTGGCGAACAAATCTCCAAATTTTGGGCCGTAGCAAAATTAACTATGCTCAGCTCCTCAAGCACCGGGCAGCCAGATATGAGGCGGGGCAAGGATTCAGCCCCCTCAATATAAAGCCTCTTAAGGGCCGGCAGGCACACATCGCCGGCGACCGGGAGCACAACATAACCACCGATACGCAATTCAACTAGGGTTTCACACATTAACAGACAATTCGGCATCGTCGTCCATACGGTCTCAAACCAGGAAACATAGATAGAGATATTCCTGACATTGCGGGAAACGAGAGCGGCAATCCAGCCCTCGATTTCAAATTCGTTGAAGTTATGATCAATTCTTAGTCGGAAAGTGTGTACCGTTTGCCCTTTGTGCGCCGACACGACCTCGGTGAAGATGTCCCCAAAGCTTCGGTCGGACCCACTGTTGTATTCGAAACTTAAGAGGGGGACACGGGCCCACAGGGACCGCCATCTTCTTGAGAGGACGCTGGTGCACACAGAGAGGCTGGTGGTCGGGAGGAAAGAGAGAATGTGTAACAGAACGTCGTCGGGCAAGGCGCCGAGTCTGTCGAGCGGTGATTGCTTCTCTGCCGGCATGGCCAGAATAGAACAAGAGACGATATAGAGAGGTGGAGATGTGATTTGAGAGGTTAGGGCTTATTTGTATCTCAATAAACAACGTTAAACAAACTAAAACTCTGCTTGACTCTAATTCTCATCAATCTATTATTATCGTATGAGGAAATACTACAATCCCGTTACGGAACCATTCCGTTGGGATTATAACCGTTAGATCATCAAGTAACGTCAATGATAATTGATCTAACGGTTACAAATCCCAACGGAATGGTTCCGTAACGGGATTGTAGCCTTACTCATTGTATAAATAGATAACCAAAAAACTTTAAAATCGTAATTAAAAAATAATTAAGATTCCCGTCTACAAGTTTACTTAACAAAATAAACTAGTGTATATCCCGTGTGTGTGATGCGAGGTGCTCATATTTTAAAATTTTTTTTCTTTAACTTTTTTTAAATATAATTTTTTATATTTTTCACATCTCATCTATTATGGAAATAAAATAAATACAAAAAATAAAAATATAAATTATTAAACACTTTTCTTTATACAATATTTTTTATTTAAGGAATATTATTAAACTTTACAGATTTAAAAATAAATAATAAATGTTTATTAATATATTAAAATATGTAATAAATGAATTTCATATAAAGTAAAAAGTATGATAATTCAAATTAATTTTTAAAAATTTTCTAAAATAATTAATATTTTAATAATTATATCCGTAAGAATAATTATATAATTAATTAAATAAAACATTATATTAATTATCTCTTAAAAAAATACCCGATTAGATGACTTGGATAAAAAAAATTTATATTAAATAGTTTTTAGGAATGTGTTTATATGGAAGTTAAGATAAAATGAAATGTACCCAAAAAATCTTCTTATAATCTTTCCTTTAAATGTTTGAATTTAATTTCTTTCAAAAAAAATTCAAAAAATTTGAATAAAAATCATGGGCGAGATTCTCCAAAAAATTTCAAAAACAATTCCTTCATTGGTAAAAAACGAAAAAATGAGCGGGAAACTTACATACTATTTTTGTATTTTTTTTCTTCTATCTATTATAAAGTAATAGATTTTCTTAAAATTATCAAAAATCCCGCCCAAATATGTTTTCAAAAATTTAAATTCAAATATTTAAGAAAATGATCGACTGCAGATTTTTTTTATTTGGTATATTCCATTTTTATCTTAAGTTATATAAAATCTCTTCATTGTAACGAAATATTATTCCATTCATATTTTTCGTTACTCAGCACAACCGCCACTACCATGACGAAGAAGAAGCCGCAAACCCTTTTCCTCCAGGAATTCATCAAGCTGAAGGCGACCAAGTGAATAAATAATATTATTGTGTAATCAATATTTATCACTATATATATAAATAATAATATTACTTTTAAGTATTACAAATATTGATAATGACATTATATGACAATAAATTTTAGAATAAAATAATATTTGAGTATATGATGAACACAAATTAGTAAAGTTATTATTTTTTTGTATAAAAAATTTACATAAAAAATTTGTTAAATTATTATTTTTATTGATATAAATGGGTCATCTGGCTAATATATTGTTAAAATGAAGTTTTATAAAAAAGTTTTAAGGTACAAAACCATATGTGCATCGCACGGTATGATTACTAGTTAACTAGTACGTAACTCGTGCGATGCACGAGCTGTATTTATTTTAGGGAATATTATAATTTGAAGTGTATTAATGAATAAATAGTGATATTACGTAGGTAAATAGTCAAATCATAAAATATTTATCATGAAAAAATAATATATTATTAAGAACCTCATTGTACACTATTATTAGTTTGATTACTTGGCAACTCGTTGTCCCCAAAAACTAATATTTTAAACTCATTTGTATTACTTACATGCGAAACAATAACATATAATAGCCGTGACTAAAACTCATTTCTCCCTAAATGTCCCTGTTTTAGCAAATTATTTTATTATCGAGTACCGAATCGAATGATCCGTTTCCCAGGTCGACCTCTCGAGGAAGGCGGTTCGGAATCTAGAATTGGTGTTAATGACACACGAAAGCAAAATAAATCCTAAACACTCTAATCACAATTAGGGTTTGAACTATCAACTAGGAAATAACAGAAAATGCATAAAACATAAATTAACTCAAAAACATGAAACAAACAATGATAATGAAGCTAGGGAGTCGGGGATATCCGTTTTGGTTCGAATTGCAATTAATGGGCAAGTGATTGTTCGGTTAAGTGATTTGAATAACCTTCTCGTTCAAGTACTCATCCTCAATAACTCTTCGTAACAAGAGAACAAACTTGAACGCAAATTAACAAGTCATTTAACACCTAGGCAATACAGTTACGAACAAGCCTAGCTTATACGAGCCTATTTCGACCGACTCCTCCCCTTTCGGTTCTAAGAGTCGATTAATATATACTAGAGGGTGGTTAACCGACTAATCAAATAGAATCACCAACTTCATGCATGAATAAATCAAATTCAATTGAAACAATTGAGAATTGAAGTGTCACCCTTCAACAATTCTCAATATTCAAGAACGATAATTGAAAACCCTTATAAACGATCAACTCGCATAAGAAGAACAATCAACGAATCACCACAACCGCAATCGAAATCAAAACATCATCCCCGATTCCCTAGCTTATGGATTTAGCTACTCATGATTGATTCAACACAAACTATTCCACAAATCAAGACGAACATATTCATGGATTAAAGAAATAGAAAGTCTTACGATTAATACGAATTTCAATGTTAAATTCCACAAGCAATCCAAATATGAAAGATAAAATGGAGTTTTATACTCTCCAAAATCAAATCCAAGTGAAAAGAGAAGAGAGAATATGTTCCAAGGTGAAGAAAATCGAAATACAAGGTCTGAGAGTCCTCCAAAAACAGCCCTAACTCGATCTAATAGCCTTCCTATTTCAAAATCCATGAAAATCGCGATTTGTTAAAACTGGACCTTAGCGGCGCTAACCCCTAATTAGCCTGAAAGTCTCTGGTGTCGCTAGCACCCCGCTAGCAACCATAGCGCAGCTAGTATTTCACCCTTAGCGCCGCTAACCCCTTAGCGCCGCTAAGGTCTAGGCAGCTTGCGCGACTTCAAGTTTTGGGCTCGTTTGAGCTCGTCCGAACTCGGAATTGAGTTCCGCTTTTTTCTACATGTCGCCAACGAACTCCTCTATTAAATTATGCATGGCCAGCCAATATTTTCCAGAAATCCTGTCTTTCCAAAGCTTCTAACCTATACACCAAAACGAGACGAAAAACGGAGAAAACCGGAAAACAACCAGAAAACACAAAAAGACTCCAATTAATGAAAAACATGCAATAAACTACAAAAACGACTAAAAACCAACAAAAAGACCTAAAATGGGGGAAAAAGAATGACAAAACAACAACAAAAAATGCAACAAAAATGGGACAAACAACTCCCCCACACTTAAACCTTTGTTCGTCCCGAACAAAAACAAAAGAAAAGAAAACAAGACACGAGCATGGATATCGGCTTCAAATAAGAAAAGTTTCAAATTCATTGACTTAGCTGAGGAGACTTCAAAAGACCAATAAAACACATCTCAATTACAACTTAAATGGTATGCATTGAGAAGACAAACTCTCAACACGGAAATATCATGTATAATGCCTCACTCAGTTTCTTACATAAATATGAAATGAGAACGCTCAAATTGGTTGGCAATCAAGTTTCAACATAGGCTTGCTTATCGTCTAGTTCATACTCTAAAACAACCAAAGCACATGAATTTGCGAATTAAGAGGACTTCAAGGGTATAAAGAAGGCACTTGCTTGAGGGAAGGTCAAATATAAAGATAAAATGGCTAGAATGAACAATTATACTCTCGAACACATAACTACTCGAATATCTCGCCACCCATCCATAATCAACACAAAGCCAATCACTCCTAACCAAAGCTCCATACACATTCACACATGCTCAACAAAGATTGCAAATAAAGTGCCTGACGATATATATATTTTTTATTTTTTTTTATTATTATTATTTAGGGAGTTTGATTTTTCCTAACAAGATCGAACGTAAGGACGGCATTCCCCAGGTTTAAACAATGGAGGTCATCCAAGTGTCCTGGGGTGGTTTTCCAATACTCATTACCCGTATAAATAAATTGACAAGTCAGAGGAGTAGAATCCTCTCTATTCGTCTTGCGAGTCCCCGATTTCTTTTTTTTTTTTGAGTTCAACCTCATTCAAACACATTTTTTTTTTTACGACAAGCACTATAAATGCAACTCAATCGAGTTCAACCTCATTCAAACACATAGAAGCTCCGTCATCATCATCATACAATGTTCTGTCAAATCTCAAATATTTCAGGTAAAACGGATGACAAGAAACACGGCTTAAGGCTCAACGGGCTACTAGCGAAAATATAACTTTAAGGGACATTGAAAATGGCTAGAACGAGCAATGCCAATGAAAAGCCTCAATCATATTCACAAACCACAACTTTGATCGATTATTTCAAAACAAACTCAAGCAAGTTCTGATCAACAAAATTCCAAACATATCTCACAGAAACAGAATAAGGCTCAAACCTCACAAGGCAAATAATATCCAATCAAAACGACCATCAAGTTCATCAAAATATGCCATCATGATCAACATCACATCTCCTCAACTTCATCAACAAATATCAACAAAACTTAAAATTCACCAATATCCATACTCACAAGACACAAAAAAAAAACAAAAAAAAAAACTAAACCTAGATTGATTCACCACATAAGCATGCCAAATCTAAGTAAACTCCCCCACACTTAAAATGAGGCAATGCCTGTTGGGATCTGTGAGGATCTCGTTATGTACAAATCACGAATTCAATAGCAAACGTAAACCTATGCGCAGCGGATCTAAAGGTTTGACGTAGAGAACTTACGGCTTAAAATTTATGTAGATCTGGTTGACCACGAACGGTTGACCGCAATTGATTGACCGCAACACGCGTCTTGGGTTGCACGAACAAGATCAGATCAAAACTGGATCAACTGGATGCAAACA